ATGTGCTTTACACAATTGATGTATATATGCATTGTGATAAGAGTTGGATGAGCCCCTAATAAAACGACTTAAAAAAATGAGTCCAGAGGGAACACAAGTGATCAGGTGTTACATTCTACCCTAATTCCACATCTGCAGTAATCCACTTTCCAATGGATTATCGGACATTGGAAATTGGATTTGAGATTGCACTGGTAATTTACTCTGTCTGAGGGCAAGACGTCACAGCCCTGGTCGGTGTCTGAGGGTATTCAGTGGGATTCCATCTGAATGAAGACTGTGTGACTTGATTGGGGCTTGCCCTGTCATCCACACCCTTCTGCAAACTGGGTGCTCAGGCATTAAGTCCAAATACAAGTCCTTCCTCTGATCTCAGATTTTAATATTTACAATCCTTGAATCACATGGCTGTTGTGCTATGCGCAGCTCTTGATGACCGGTGAGGTTCACCATTCTGCTGGGAAATCTCCGCCCTTTTTATTTACTGTGGCATGGATACGGATAATCCACACACCTCATAGAGCAGGAGAGACCATGCCTGCTGCCGTCAAGTTGATTGGGAGACATAGAACATTGGTGTAGAACTGTCTCTTGGGTTGCCAAGGCTGTAGTCTTGACAGAAACAGGCTGCCTCGTCTTTCTCTGGCTGGTGAGTTACAGCCACCAACCTTTTACTTAACAAGCAGATCATTTAACCACTAGGGCCCCTAGAAAAGATAATGAGTTATCAAACTGTACCCAGAAACCAGTCATTCTGTAGACTCATGCATCCCTAGTAACCTGTCCATCTCCCTTTGTATGATGAGTGTGGTATTACATAATTTTATGTCAACTTGAAGTGCAGGGGTGGAGTCTAGCCTGTCAATCAGGTCACAGCCTGATGGTGCCTCCTTGTGGGCATGACCTCCTCATAAGGAGGGTCCTAGGAACACCCCCTCCTCCCCACCCTTCGCTTCACCTTCCACACAGCTGAGACCTGTCAGAACCTTGTGATGCTTCCACCGCCATTGGATCCACAACACTCTGCACCCACTGGCCTGTGATCCCCCTGTATTCTGCATCATTGCATGAGGGTGCGTGAATCTGAAGAGGGATTTATGAACTGGCATCAGACTTAAGGTCTGAGTTGGACCTGGCTGGAATGTTTTCCTGATACACAACTGCATCTTGATATAAAGCTATTTCTTACACATATATGCGTGCCCCTGGCTTTGTTTCTCCAGCCAAGCCGGTTTAGCACAATGAGGGAATTTGAAAGAATGGATGGGAAACCCCACTGGTGGGGCGATTTCCTTCAGAGAATTTCAGTGTGTGCACAATCTGCAGTCTTTGTTTAGAGAGCTTGAAGGTTCTTCTTGAAGCATTTCCTTGCTTGTTTTCATCATCTAAAATATGTAGGTAGGTGTTCTGTTAATGAGTGAATCAGGTTGGGGTTGTGGAACTCCTCTCAGTAGGAAATAGCTGCCTTTCATGGAAGGCTGATCAGTGAAGTGGAGGCTTCCTTGGAAAGCTTATTTACGATGTTACTTCGAGTGTTTATACTGTTGAAGACTGGGACATGCCTTCACATACAGATCAGGGCTTGATTATCTGGGTCTGACATGCCTTTTAAATAAGACCGGCGTCGACTAGGAATGTTATTAATAACATCCACGGAAACAACCATTAACCTACCTCCTGGTCCAGGGGAAAGAGGGAGTCATTTTTTATTCATGGGGAAGAGAGTGGAATGTGACTCCTGGGGTCGGATTGCAGAGAGGCCCTTGCCTGTTAGAGCGTAAGTCTTATTGAAGCCTTTGTCCATTCGCATTCAAAACACTCCAACAACACCCAGAAGTGGGATGAAAGGGTCTCATATTTTTACACAAATACAGGCAGGCAATCTCCCTAGATGACAAACCTTTCTGCTCCTCTGTCCATCTTCCAGTGGAATTCACACCTAAGTCAGAACAGTTAGGTGCAGTTAGTCCCTAACACGAGCTAGCCAAATGTTCATCTTAACAGAATGCATGAAGACATTAGACATAATTTCTTACCTGGTGCCTTGGCTGAAAGTTGACACGACACATGGGTTTTCCATTCAACAGCTCGTATAAGAAAGGAACCAAGACAAAGGAAATAAAAACTACTCTCCAGTCCGTTCTGATGCGTGGCACCCCTGTGTCGGACCACAGAACTGCACCCCATTGGGTTTTCAATGGCTGGTTGGTTGCCAGTCTTCGGAGACAGCTCAAACCTCCAACCTTCCAGTTAAGAGCCGAGCAAGGTCACTGCTTGCCCCAGGGACTCCAAGGGGAGAAGGGAATGGGCACTCAAGTCCATTCTCATGTGGCGGTGACAGGAGACTGCGTGGCGCTTTGCGGGTGGGTGGAGGGGCAGGGGCAGGGGTGCAACTGGGTCTCAAAAGGCTTCATGACACCAGGCCGGGCTGGCTCTGGGCTATAGCTTCCAATGTCATTATTCATAATGCAACCAATGAGGACAACTGAAGAACAATTGGTCCCTTTGAATTATGACCTTGGCCAAGAAGAGTGAATTTATCAAGGTCTACCAGAAGACGGAAGAAGTATTGGACGAAGCGCAGCCTGGAGGCTCCCTAGAACCGAGGGTGGGGAGACTCCATCTCACGTACTCGGAGGCTATTGTAGGAGAGAGAAGGCCCTGGGGAAGGACGTCATGCCTGCTACATTGGAGGGGCAGCAGAAAAGAGGAAGACCGTGCACAAGAGCGGTGGGGAGGGGGAGGGCACGGGG